CAGCAGCTTGAGATTAGAAAGTTTATCCATCTTTAAAAAAATAAAAAATAAAAAAATCCCGCACCTATGTGGCTTAAAGAGAAAGCACTTGGATTAAGAGTGAGAATATCTATAGGGTACCTCAGCATTTAAATCAATAGGTCAGGGGGAGAATTCTGCTCCTCTTTCCTGCAGGCTCTCCTCAAAATCTATTCATTTATTTAAACTTATATCCTGCCCAATCTAGGGGATGAGACACTATGCTGGGCAGCTGCCCAGAAAATAACATAAATATATGAGAAAGAGCAGAATTAAGATAATAACTATAAAAACTAAAAAAAAAACTCTCATAAACCCTGCAGTCTAGAACCTAGGTTCTTAACCTTTGTTACTCGGATGTTTTTGAACTGCAACTCCCAGAAACCCCAGCCAGCACAGTTGGTGGTGAAGGCTTCTGGGAGTTGCAGTCCAAAACTCCAGAGTAACCCAAGGATAAGAACCAGTGGTCTAGAAAATAGGCCAGGACTCAGAATGGTGAGCACAGGGCCGATGTAAACTTCCTACAAAATCAATATTGCTACAAAATCAACATTGCTACAAAATATTAATACTGCTACAAAATCAATATTGCTACAAAATATCAATACTGCTACAAAATCAATATTGCTACAAAATATTAATACTGCTACAAAATCAATATTGCTACAAAATATTAATACTGCTACAAAATCAATATTGCTACAAAATATTAATACTGCTACAAAATCAATATTGCTACAAAATATTAATACTGCTACAAAATCAATATTGCTACAAAATATTAATACTGCTACAAAATCAATATTGCTACAAAATATTAATACTGCTACAAAATCAATATTGCTACAAAATATTAATACTGCTACAAAATCAATATTGCTACAAAATATTAATACTGCTACAAAATCAATATTGCTACAAAATATTAATACTGCTACAAAATCAATATTGCTACAAAATATTAATACTGCTACAAAATCAATATTGCTACAAAATATTAATACTGCTACAAAATCAATATTGCTACAAAATATTAATACTGCTACAAAATCAATATTGCTACAAAATATTAATACTGCTACAAAATCAATATTGCTACAAAATATTAATACTGCTACAAAATCAATATTGCTACAAAATATTAATACTGCTACAAAATCAATATTGCTACAAAATATTAATACTGCTACAAAATCAATATTGCTACAAAATATTAATACTGCTACAAAATCAATATTGCTACAAAATATTAATACTGCTACAAAATCAATATTGCTACAAAATATTAATACTGCTACAAAATCAATATTGCTACAAAATATTAATACTGCTACAAAATCAATATTGCTACAAAATATTAATACTGCTACAAAATCAATATTGCTACAAAATATTAATACTGCTACAAAATCAATATTGCTACAAAATATTAATACTGCTACAAAATCAATATTGCTACAAAATATTAATACTGCTACAAAATCAATATTGCTACAAAATATTAATACTGCTACAAAATCAATATTGCTACAAAATATTAATACTGCTACAAAATCAATATTGCTACAAAATATTAATACTGCTACAAAATCAATATTGCTACAAAATATTAATACTGCTACAAAATCAATATTGCTACAAAATATTAATACTGCTACAAAATCAATATTGCTACAAAATATTAATACTGCTACAAAATCAATATTGCTACAAAATATTAATACTGCTACAAAATCAATATTGCTACAAAATATTAATACTGCTACAAAATCAATATTGCTACAAAATATTAATACTGCTACAAAATCAATATTGCTACAAAATATTAATACTGCTACATCAACTCATCATGGCACTGTCTGTCCTCTGAAGATACCCATGGCCACAGAGACTGGTGAAACGTTAGGAAGAACACGGCCAAAGAGCCTGAAAAACCCACAACAACCAATGCAAAATAAAGAGTTAGGCAGCAGAGCCCTAGATAAGAGCTTAGAGCAGCCCAATGGCAACAATAATTAAAAAGGACCCTTCTCTTCCAAACTGGGTTGCTTAAAAAGAACCTTGGGAAGACACGAGGATAGAAGGGAAGCAGAAGGTGATTTTTGTGTTACAGAAGAAGTTGTTTCGGTTGTTATTTCCGATATGCTGTTAAGTCATTTCTGACTTCTGTTGACCCTACGAATGAGAGACCTTCAAATTGTCCGATCAGCTCTTGCGAACTCAAAGTCCGGGCTTTCTTTTTGGAAGCAACCCACCACCGAAGTTCAAGCTTCCTCTTTTTTTCCTGCTGCTTTCCAATTTTCCTAGCGTTATTATCTCTTCCATTCAAGTCTCGTCTTCTCCCGATGTCCCAGAGGTACAACAATGCTGATTCCAGATTCCTGGGCAGGGTGTATCCATGGGAGCACTTTTATGACTGGTTACGTGTGCAGGTTATGTGCCTTCAAGTCAACTCCAACTTGTTTCTAGTAAGGTTTCCAAAATATGTAAGATCTAGAAGGGCCGGTTTTTAATGCCTGGCTACAGAGCCGGGGGCCAGGGATTCAATTTCCCACTGCTGTACCTCCTGGGAGAAGAGGCAGCCTGTGTAGCCCTGGGAAAACAGCACAACCCAAGGATGTTGGCAAAAGAAGGGAAGGGTATGTCACTTCAGAGTCCTCTGTGAAAGCCTGCCAAGGGGAACCATCTATTGTAACCAACTTAAGGGTGCATGACTGTTATTCATCAGTGCCACCCCTCGGTGAGTCTTCTTGGCCAAGCAGGGACTTGAACTCATATCCTCTGGGCCCTAGGCCCTGGCTCCTGTCAAGGTGACCCTCTGTTTCAGCCTATTTTAATATAAAAGATGTTTGATTCTTTTTAAATATTTGTATACTGGACCCTCTGTTCCAGCCTATTTTAATATAAAAGATTCTTTTTAAATATTTGTATACTTACTGTTTTGAGCTAAGAGAGAGAGAAAGAAAGAAGTTAGTTAGTTAGTTAGTTAGTTAGTTAGTTAGTTAGTTAGTTAGTTAGTTAGTAAGTATTGTAGGTCAAGAGTTTTGATTGCCTGTGGTTCAAACAGGCTGCATCGGTATAGGTCAAGAGTTTTGATGGCCTGTGGTTCAAACAGGCTGCATCGGTAGCCCTTATCACATACCCCATGGTGCTGAATTCCCTAAATTCTTTACAATGGGAGTGAGCAGAGATCGCTGAATCTCTGAAGACTTTCAACCTGAGGGAAAGGAGGTGGTGAAGAGGCAGAAAGCCCTTTTGATGGTGGTCCACTGATGGAATGTTCTCTGGGGGGGGGTCTTAAATATACGACAAGACTTTTGCTCTGTTGTGTTTTGTATCTCCCAAGAGCGCCTTTGGCTGGCACTTTTTAAACTAGCTTTTTGGTACCAAACCAAGCTGGCTGGATAGCTCAGTGGGTGAGTCATTCTGGCTAAGGAGCCAGAGGTTGGGAGTTCGATTCTCCACGGTGCCCCCTTGGAAAAAGAGCCAGCTTGGCTGGCCTTGGGCAAAAGCTGCACAGTCCCAGGGCAAACCCAGGAAGAAGGGGAGGTTACACCACTACTGAGAATTCCCTACCTGGAGGACCCCTGAAAAGGGTGACCATAAATCAGAATAGCCTTCAGGCGGGTGCATACACCCCCCGCACATCCCCCCATCAAACCAAGACATTCTTCTTGCAACCGGCCTTACAACACCACACACAGCACATTTTCTTCAGAATGTGGGGAAGTGACGTCACTAATTACAAACTCCGAACCATCGTGGCCAAAATCACACTTCGATTTTGCACGGTCTCTGCTGATAACTTTTTTCTGTCTCCTCTCAGAGTCAGTTTTTCACCTCCTTTGTGTGATGATTCATTTGTTTTCACTCAAGCTGGAACTGGGATGTTTTCGTTCACTGTTGCAATTGTTATCCACTTTGTTTGACTCTACGTATCCCTTAGGAGGGAGGTGCCTGGCTCGGCTCCCTTCCTTTCCTGGGGTCCCTACCAGGGTTTGGCGCCTCTGAGGACGAGGCTTCTGGGCCGGCGACAGGGGAGAAAATCGGAATGGGTGGGTTTGCTTCCTGCAACAAAATGCATTCATTCTAACTGGAAATCTTTTGAGTTTTCTCTTGTATGACTTCCGAAATCACCCAGAACTTCCAGAAATGCAACTTTTCCTACCTCTGGTGCTGTGCAAAATTTATGTCCTACTATGAGTACAAATACTGTATTGATGTGTTGATTGCTAACCAAGCATCAGAACGACCCGGTATAAATCACGCTGCACGCTGACACTCCTCCTGACATTCCTATGCCCTGCCTCATCAACAAGAACTCTGCACATGCTCAGCCCCATGTCTTTTTCCCCGCCCCAAATCCCCCTGGGCCCTTGAGTCAGCCTGCAGGATCGCTTCCCTCGCTGGCTCTCTTACAAACAGTTCGTCCCCCACCTTTCTTCTCCTTTTGGAAAGAAGCCTCACCCTTTGAACTCTGCACACGCTCAACCGACCTGCTTCCCCTCCGGGCCTGCGAGCACTTCAAAACCAAGACGGCCTCCCTCCTCTCTGGGGTGGGGTGAGGTGGTGAAGGAGCGGCCCTCCAGACGTTGTAGGCCTGCAAACTCTCTTCCCCACCCCTCCTCACGAGGAGATCTGGAGGGCCAGTGGGCTGCAAGCTCTGCACCCCCACTGCCCCCGAGAACGAACTCTGCACATGCTTGGGGAGCTGCCTCCTTCTCCCCCCCCCTCCCCAGAGCACCCTGCCCAAGTCTCAGCCCGGAGTAACGGACTTGGGAGACAAGAGAAAGCGACGCCTTTGTCTGGAGAAGAGCCAGCCAGCCAGGATGGGAGGAAGGGAGGAAGGCACAGAGAGCGAGACCGGCAGGGTGGGAGGAAGGAAGGAAGGAAGAGAGGCAGGGTGGGAGGAAGGGAGTGGGTGAGCAAGACCGACCGCGGGAGACCGGCGTCCTCCTCCTCCTCCTCCTCGGGGCACTCACCGTCGGAGCTGACGGTGTCGTAGGGGTCGGGCTGGCGGGCGGCGCGGTACGCCCCCTCGGCGCCCCCGGGCTGGCTGTAGTCCACCCAGCTGAGCCCCTCCAAGCTGTCGTAGTCGGGCCGGGGCCGGTCCTCCACGGGCACGACGGTGAAGTGCGGCATGGCCGAGGGCCGCCGTCGAGGGAGCGCCCCGGCTCCGGCTCCGGCTGCTGCTGGTGGTGCTGCTGGTGGTGCTGCTACTGTACTG